GTCAGGAAGTTTCTCCTTAGTTCTAGGCTGCTTCTCTCCTTCATTAGTTTCCATCCATTGCTTCTTGTCCTGCCTTCAGGCGCTTTGGAGAATAGCTTGACTCCCTCTTCTTTGGGGCAGCCCCTGAGATACTGGAAGGCTGCTATCATGTCCCCCCTCGTCCTTCTCTTCATTAAACTAGACATCCCCAATTCCAGCAACCGTTCCTTGTATGTTTTAGCCTCCAGTCCCCTGATCATCTTTGTTGCTCTTCTCTGTACTCCTTATTTGTAAGGTCCCCTCGAACACTGTTATTATGCTGTTATTATGTTTTAGAGATTTGAAGGTGCCCAAGGGAAGATGGCCAGGAGCCCTTCCACTGCAGAGGCTTCGGGTTCTCCAGGTTGAGGGGATGGAGTCACTGGTGACTTATGAACAGGGGGAAGGAAAAGGAGATTTTGGGTGGACGGCTATAATGACACATGTGTAAAACAGGCACATATCTGTAAGCATAAGCAGCCCTCACGTATGTACTATTTTTCCTTCTGTTTTCCTTTCCTCTTTTCTCCTTCTTTTTCTGTTCTGCTTAATTAAATAAAACTTTCTCTGAGTTGCCCCGTTGTCTCCAGCCCATCACAGTGTGACTGAGTGTCTTTGTGCCCGTCCCAGGTATGTCTAGTTTAACGAAGAGAAGGACGAGGGGGGACAGGATAGCAGTGTTCCAGTATCTCAGGGGCTGCCCCAAAGAAGAGGGAGTCAAGCTATTCTCCAAGGCGCCTGAAGGCAGGACAAGAAGCAATGGATGGAAACTAATGAAGGAGAGAAGCAGCCTAGAACTAAGGAGAAACTTCCTGACAGTGAGAACAATTAACCAGTGGAACTACCTGCCTCCAGAAGCGGTGGATGCTCCAACACTGGAAGTCTTTAAGAAGAGACTGGACAGCCATTTGTCTGACATGGTGTAGGGTTTCCTGCCTGAGCAGGGGGTTGGACTAGATGACCTCCAAGGTCCCTTCCAACTTTACTATTATTATTATTATTATTATTATTATTATTATTATTATTATTATTATTATTATTATTATTATTATTATTATTATTATTTACTCTGGAGTAAGCCCTTCGTGGAGACTGAGTTTCAGGCCGTGGGGCAGGGGTTTCTTGCTCCAGGAGAGGCTCTTCCCCTGCAGATTCTCTCTGGAAAGCCACATTGGGGAAGGATGATCCCCCTCTGGGTTCCTTGTCCTCTGACATGGGGGGGACATGGGTCAAGGTGGGGAGGGAAAACCCCCAAAGGATCCAGAGAAAACATCAGAGACAGAGAAGGAAGCCAAGATCCAATACTTTATTGCAGAGAAGAAGGAATGAACCCAGGGTGGGTTTTGGGGAGGGTCTGCAGGCTGGTCCAGGACAGAAGAAGGGTCTCTCTGTGAAGTTGGTGAATTGGGACCAATTCAGGTGGGTCTCCTCGTTGGTGATGCTGTAAAAACAAACATTCAGATATGAGGTTTCTGCCCAGAACTGCTTCCGGTGCCGCCCAGGAACTTCACCCTGCCTAATCTTAAAACCACAGAGACCCAAAGCTGAAATCAGGGGGAGTGTCCTGATTGGGAGAGAAGGGAAGCAACGGGGCAGCCTCCCCATTGGAGTTATGGGACTCCATCACTGAAGGTTCCAAGCCAAGGTGGGACAGAATCTCTCCAGGATGCTGTGAGGATTTTTGGAAGGAGGATGGACTACTAGAAGACCTCTAGAGTTTTCCCCCATGCTCTCTTTCCAAGAGACCTCAAGGCCACAGCTTGTTGGACTTGTTCACAGGAGCTTCCTAACTCTGTCAGGGAGCATTTTCCTGTTTTCCTTTTTTTTCTGTCTTGCTTCATTAAATAAATGTGAGCTTATCTTTGGTGCCCCTGGTGAAGCTATAGTGGACCTTCCGGTCACCTGAGCTTGGACCAGTTCTGGTCTGCCCAGAAGATGAGGTGGACCAAAGTGGGCACCTCATCCCGGCCTCTCCTTCTCCTGGAAGTCCTCCTTGCCTGGGACCTTCTGGCTTCCTGACCAGGTTGGCAGGAGGACCATCTTCTCTAACACAACTACCCAGTGGCAGCTGAATGGGGGGGGGGGTCACCATTCTACCAAGGAAAGAAGCAAAGAAGACCAGGTTCTCTGCAGTCAAAGAGGGACACCCCCCCGCAGTCTTCCTAAATGAGAATCAAATCATCTCTTGAGGCTCAGCTGAGAGAGAACTTCGCCCTCCCTCCACCCTCTCCATCCATCCTTCTGAGCTGGGATTGGCCTCCACTGCCTGGTCTCCAATGGTTGGAGAAGTCCTGGTTATTCTCCTTTCGTCACAGTCGTATTTGGGGCTTGGCTCACCCAAGGACAGATCCAAGAAGCTTCAAGGATTCCAGAGAGATCTGCTTGGATCCAGTCCATTCAAGGATTTAGGAAACTCAACAGAGTGGCATAACACTCAAGGCTCTTACCTTAGACGGGGTCCATGCAGTCAATCATGCACGCATAAGGGCAACACTTCTTTTTCCCCTTACACTCCCAGTCATTTTTACACATCACGGGACAAATAGTGATCGTTCCTGGAGGGGCCTTGGGACACACCCCACGTTTTTCTGCAAAATAGAAGATCCCAAGGCTGAGGGATTCCCCTGGAATTGGAATTGCAGATCAAGCATGATCCCATCTCTGGACCTTTCAGGACCTGAAACATTTCCATACTGGCTGAGGAATTTTGGGAGTTGAAGTCCACAAGTCATAAAAGGGCCAAGTTTGAAGACCCCCAATCTAGACTTTAAGAGGAGTGGACTTCAACTCCCAGAATTCCTCAGCGAGTGTGCCTGGCTGAGGAATTCTGGGAGTTGAAGTCCAGAAGTCATAAAAGGGCCATGTTGGAAGACCCTTGATCTATCTCAATCTATCTTTCACATCAGTTCTGAGCTGGGCCACTCAGCAACACCTGGACCCAGATGGAGATGGCTCTTTGATGGTCCCAGAAGAGGGCAGGTGGAGCATTCATGCCAACAACCACATAAGCAGGGACAAATAACCACACAGAAAATAGTTCCCCAATCAAGGAACAGTCAAAAAGAAAACAACGCTCTGATCAAGACTTGTAGGGCAAGCTGCAGTACATAAACCCAGAGCAAATCCCATACATAGTTTGCTCTGAAGATGTCCCCTAGTCAGGCGATGAAACATCTGCAAGGAAACCACCAAGCTCAGAGAGCATGCCCCACAGTCCTCGTCATCGTCCTCCTCCTCCTCCTCCTCCTCCTCCTCCTCCTCCTCCTCCTCCTCCTCCCTGCAAACCCCCCTGATGATGCTAACTGATGATGTTCCCTAGTTGGGTAATGAAATGTCTTCAAGAAAACAACCAAGCTCAGAGAGCACCAGGGATCCCACAATTGTCCTTCTTCTCCTTCTCTTCGTCCTTCTTCTCCTCCCTATTTCTCCTCCTCCTCTTTCATTCCTTCTCCTCCCATCTTCCCTTTCTCTTTCTCCTTCTTCTCCTCTCCTCATCAAACCTCACTCTCTTCTAAAACTACCAAGCTCAGGGAGCATGCCCCACAGTCCTCCTCCTCCTCCTCCTCCTCCTCCTCCTCCTCCTCCTCCCTGCAAATCCCCCTCCCTTCTAGCACTGATGATGTTCCCTAGTTGGGTAATGAAACGTCTGCAAGAAAACCACCAAGTTCAGAGAGCACCAGAAATTTGACAGTTCAACCTGGAGTGATGAAGATTCCCTTCTATTCAGAGAGCACTAAGGATCCCACAGTTCAACACTGAGCTATATAAATTCTCTTGTATTGGAAGAGTCCGTCCACAGCTCCTTCCCTACTTACCAACACAGGTGTAGTGACATTCATCTTTGGTCTTAAAATTGTTGTCATTGCCGCGGCATCCACCGTAATTAAACTCTTGACAATGTTTCAAAGCCGAGTTGTAGTAGAAGCGAGGCATTTTGGCTTCACATGGTCCAGGTTCAACAGGAAGATCACAATGCTCTGTGTCAATGGAAGGGATGGTGTTATTTGATTAGATAGCACAAAAGCCTTCAACGCACTTCCCCAACCTGATGCCCTCGTAGCATACTCAGTCTGCAAACAATCGAGAGACGTCTAAGATGTTTTACTTTGGTTTCCTGCTCTGGGGTTTGGCTTGGGCATCTGGAATGGATGCTTCCGGTTGCTTAAAATTGTGATTCTGCTGTTGCATTGAGTTAAGATAGGTCAGCCTTCCCCTGAAATTGCATTTCTGTGTCTTGGGGGCCCCTCCCATTTCTGTCTCCTATTCAGTTGATGCCCAACTACCATCTCAAGAACTTTCACAGAAGAAGCATCACCAAGACAGAGGTTCTAGATTGGAGCTCTTGGTTTTCCTTTACTGGGGGAAAAGCTCCGATCACTTCCGCCCGTTCCAGGAAAGGGTTTCAAGATCATTTTGAAAGCTCTACCTGGCCGGTCCTGGCCAGAGACAGGGGTCAGCTCTGCCCAGAGGGTGAGGAGTCCCAGCAGCAGCAGAAGACCTCCAGAAGACATGAT